TACTGACCAGGCCTAAGGAAGCTTGGCGTATTTAGGATGCTGCAGTGGTATAACGCAGGTCCTTTAAGCACCACTCACTTCTGAGTTTTGGAAACTTATGTCTCTGTCCCTAATATACCACCAGTGCTCATTTCAGGATCAGTCAGGATCAGTCTGGAGAGATGGAGAAGCTTGCTGGTCAGCTCAATGGTTTAGGCATCTGGTTAAGGAGCCAGCGGTTGGGAGTTTGATTCCTTGCTGTGCCCCCTGGGAGAAAAGCCAGCCTGGGTGGCCTTGGGTCAGGGGCACAGTCCCAGAAGAAAGGAATAGTACACCACTTTTGTGTATTCTCTACCTAGAAAACCCTAAAAAGGGTCACCATGAGTCAGAAATGACTTGATGGCCCATTCTTATTTATGGGGACGTGGAAACACCATGTGAGATATAGACCCCATCCTGTCTCAACCACACAAATTTAGACTGACTCCTGCACTACACTGTGTCTCTCCTTGCACCCATTTCCATGAGAAGTAAATAACAGCACTGCTCCTCCCTTTAAAAGCAATTAAGTCCAGCAAGGCTTGAGCGGCTTCCGGCTTCCCTCCCCCAAAATGTTTCTCAGCCTAAGAGGTGTCTTCCCATCCCAAACCACCCAAACCGGCTATTGCTTAGCTGGAAACCCATTTGCATCACAGACAACAGCAAGTCCACCATCCGTTATGGGCTTTTGGAGCAGACTGCATTAAAGGCAAATTGGTGGGATATGGTTATTTTGCTTATCGCTTTTTTGACAATAAATGCTCTCTATCTTTCCCTACGAAGAAAGCAAATATTGAAAGAAGGGGAAGCAGGCAAATAAGAGAAGCAGACAGGGTAATAAAAAGATATATATCCGCATTGAAGTGATGTGTTTTAAGGGTGTTGGAGGAGATGCAGAGGAAAAGCTATAAAACCGCCTGTTGATTCCATAGCAGCTTGAATGCAGGACACTGGGACAGGGAAGGGATGAGGGTAAAAGTGCGTTTGAACTGGGGAAAACATATATACACAGAGATGTGCGTGCGTGTGTGCATGAGAGAGAGAGAGAGAGAGAGAGAGAGAGAGGCATTCACTCTAAACATTCTCCTCCTTTTTTCCCCCTCTCAATGTCAGGTTCTCACACACCACACTTAGTGCCCAAAATTCTGTTGCACAGTTAAGCAAAAAGCTCAACTTTTCGCAGTAAATTGGCATAAGCTACGAACCTCCTATTGACACTATCTGTTGCATACTCAAGACTTAGTGTGCAAGAGACAATGCCTACGGAGACTCCTTAACTTGCTCCAGTTCATTTTTAGAAGTTGCACTTTTTGCGTAACAGCACAACAGGATTCAAGCCAGCGTGTGCTTCGTTAACCGATGGAATTCACTGCTGCAGGATACAAATGAAATAAATCTGCTAATAATGTTTTTTCTTGATATCTGGGAGGTTCTATAAGTGCAGGTTTGGGTATTCTTCACTAAATGAAGTAGCCAAGAATCTGGAAAAGACACATTTTTCAATCGGAGTCATTAGACCTAGAAAAATGGGGATTTAATAACAGGAAAGGGTAATTATATTGCACCAATGAGCAGATGCGGTTGTAGCTACAGATCTGAGCTGAATTCCCAAAGGTTGTATGACGGCTGCTGTTTACCACTTGGTAAAGCTGTGCCCATCATATTTTGAAACACATAACAGAATTAATGGTTCAGCTAGCTGTAATGTGGAAGGGTATGAAGCCAGAACACAATCCCTGCATTCTCATTCACATCCGAAAGATCGGTAAAGGAGATGGCTTTTCCACAGTCATTCTCTGTTGCCACATCTGTCTCTCCATTTTCTCTGTTCTTCTTTCTCTAATGTCACTATTTAAACTGGGTAAGCTCCCTGGGGCAGAAGCCTGACACTTTGCTTATGTACAAGAAAACAACGTTGACAGGACTGTACAAATACAGAACAACAGCACAAGGATTTTCCTTTTTTAAGAGTGAGAGAAAACAATATAAGCATCACACAGGGGGCTAAATGAGGATAGACGATGTACTTGACGGCTTTGCTCTGAGCGAATTCTTACGGCCCACATCGGCAAGTGCAAACAATCCCCTCTCAGATTTCTGCGCACAGCTGTGCAAAAATGTCAAAGACGCTCGCCCAGATTCGACATACACATCTCAACTCCCCGGCAGATTTTGGTTCCAGGCACCCATTGCCTCACGTCAGTACGTGTACATGTCAGCTCTCAGATTTCGGTGACAAGCTGGCGTCTCCGAAGCAAAAACAAAGAATCCTTTCGGAGTCCACATTCCTTCCGCTCTCAGAAGACACAATATTCCCAGAAAGTGTGCTTGCATAATATTGATTCTCCCTCCTCTCTCTCTCACACACACACACTCAAAAAAGAGGGGAAGTACTTCATGATATGTCTCGATATTAAGCAATTTATTTGCCTCTCTCTCTCTCTCACACACACACCCAAAAAAGAGGGGAAGTACTTCATGATACGTCTTGATGTTAAGCATTTTATTTACCTACTTCAGATGGAAGGACCTAGCTAGACTCCAAGTCCCATCATTGCCACCCCCTCATTAATCCCATAGCTGGGGCTAATGGAAGTTGTTATCTAGCACCATCTGGAGCCCACCCCCCAAAAATGGGGGAAAAGAACAAGTATATTTGGAAGAGATTTCAGCCCTTTTATATTTGTCAAAGAAAGCAGCCCAATGTTTGAACAGCTTCAGGTTCTCGGCCCTAGAGTCCAAATCATGCCAGAGTTTCGTCCAGTAAATGTCAGGTTTTACGCTTTGGGGCTCCGGGCCCCCTAGAAACCCTTCCTTCCGTGCACCTGCTTGCCGGAAAACAACATCCCCCCTCCAATGAAATCCATTACACCTTCCCAGTCTTCCAGTTCTGGGATTTTTATATTACAGCATGATTTCTCTTTCCTCTCTCTGCAAACACCGGGGACAATAGCTCATGACCTGCAGCTCTCGGAGAAGCTCTTTCACGACACATTTGGGGCCAATGAGCTGAAGATAATGGCAGGGACTAGCAATGCTCCCTGAACCACGACTACCGCTACTACTACTACTACTATCATCATCATCATTCAGAATCCTCCATGGAATGAGCTTCATCATCATCATCATCATCATCATTCAGAATCCTCCGTGGAATGAGCTCCCAAGCAATGACTTTTGTTCCCGTCTCCAGCACAGCGCTTTCCAAGAGACCTGTGATGTCATACCTGCCAGGATCACCTGTGTCCAGGTAAGAGAGCAAAAGGGAAAGTCTCTGATTCACCTCTCCTGGCTTCCCTAATCCCCTTCCTGCCTCCTGTTCTGAAGGCCCCCCTCCCCGGGGACCAGCTCGGATCCAGCCTTCAGCCCAGAGGGCCCTTTCTCCCCCTCCTCCTCCTCCTCTTCCCTGCCTGGGTCCCATGGGCCTAGGTTCGGGCTGCCCCCTGCTGTATCTTCAGCATCACCACGGCCCTTGCCAGCCCTGGCAGGACTGCCTCATTGGGCATTTTTTTAAAAACACACACACACAAAAACCCAAGCAGAGGAAGGACCCCAGAGTTCAGCTGACCCAAGGGCTGGGGAGAGGGCAGGTCTCCTTCCCTTTCCACCTCTCCAGATGTTGCTGACATTGGGCTACGACCCCTGGATCCCGTCCAGCTCTCGGCCTCCCTTGGAACGCCCAACCAACTGCTGTCCAAAGCAGCTGCAGCTTTCCAGCGCCTGGCAGGGACCCCCCCCCTCTGCCCATTGCAGAGTCCCATCACCAGCCGCCGACCCCTCCCACTGCAGCAGCCCACAGAGCAAGCAAGTGCCTTCCTAGCCCTGCAAGAGAAGCAGGAACAGCGGGGGAATTGGGGGAGGGGGGGAAGAGAGAGAGAGAAAGACACACACGTGCTTACACTCACACACGCACCATGTGCATGACGGGCAAACCCTGTGCCCAAGCTCCGGAGTTAATTTAGTAGAAACAGCACCAAACCCCGCTCCGTGGTGCTTCGGACCTGCCTTTGTCCAGTAACACCTTCAGC